GGTACTTTTGGTGTCATGAGGTTTACAGGGCTCTCTCTCAACCAAGTAATTACTGTTGAATCTAGTGGAAGAGTATAAAAAAGTCTGGGTCCCAAAAGCAGTAACCGTGACATCATGACTCCAGAGATGCACCCAGTCCAGCTTGACAATAGATAAAAATAGAACCTGGTGTTGTGAAGCGTGGAGATTATGATGAGCCTGTGGCCCATGATTACTTGTTTAAAGTCATTTTTACCTTAATCTCTAAATACATTATGTGCCTTTCTGTGGTGGCTGATTGTGTAGACTGTCCACTGAGATCAAACAGTTAGTCTATCAGCCCGAAAGCAGGAACTTTAAACAGGCTGATTACAGAAGAAATATAATTGTGCTGATGGCTGGATTAAAGGGATAGAATTTTAAAAACAATGGAAAACCTACAGCTGATGTATGCGAAAAACACTCAGGTCTAAGACTTCATTTAGTGTTTTGTTTTGTTTTGTTTTTTAATTGAGGAAATAAATGAAAATGATCAAACAAAGGCACTTTGATTTTTATAAATTATTCATCAAAATACCAGTATATACTGTAAAGGAAATATTCTACTGGGGACAGAGAATTGGCTTATGTGTTTATGCACTGTTTTATTTTGTGTTTTGTAGGCAACTCCAATGAAATAGACATTGTCCACCATGTAGACACAGAGGCCAATATAGCCACAGAGGTTTGCCTCACTATTCTAGACCTTCTGTCTCTCTTCACTCAAGTCCACCAGGTGAATATGAGCACAGTGTTTTCTGCAAAATAATGACCTCGGATGGAGGAAAAACCATGAAAAGTCAAAAATATTTTTAAGATGCTTTATAAAATCAGTTAATCTGACTTAAATCAACTTACACATTAGTGAGAATCATGTTAAAATGAGATTCTCAGACGTTGTCACAAGTTGACTAATGCTAGCTTAATCCTCACACTTTGTGTCTGTGTTTCACTACTTTAATAGGAGCTTTCTTCCCAATACCTCTTGCTGTGCTGTCAAGCATGCTGCACTGAGAGACAATGAGACTCTGTGTTTTTTAACAGAAAAAAACAAAAGACAAACAGTTCTAGGTATTAACTGATGACTAGATTTTTGAAAGAAAAAATTGTTAATGCCAAACATCTTTTAATATATATATATATATATATATGTATATATATATGTATATATATGTAAATGTATATATATATATATTCTTGATGAAGTGTTATCATAGTATACTTGATGAAATTTCTAGTGCTAACAAGACTAGTCATGCCACATTTTAACAAATACTTAGAGAAACTATAATTCTCATTCACTGATAGTAAAAATCCAAGTGGGAAAGACAATTTGGGAAAACATTATGGTGGTTTCTTTAAACACTAATTATGGAGCTAAAGAGATAGCTTAGTCATTGAGAATCAAGTTCAGTTGCAGGTAATCGCATGCATACATACATGCATGCATACATACATACATACATACATACATACATACATACATTAATACACTTTCTACATACATACACTTTCAGACACAAGGCACACACACAAATACATGCATGCGTTCACACACGCATGTACGCACGCATACACACACATACATAAATAAAAGCAAAAATATTTTTTAACGCTAATCATATATCTATCTTGTAACCAACCATTTGAATAGAAGCACTTATCCATATAAAGTTTTGGGCACAAATATGTGTAACATCTTTATTTTAAATAACAAAAAAGCAGAAACAGTCCTAAGTGTGCAGCCACAGGTAGATAAATGTTTTAGCAGCACAACAGAATACTACTCAACAATAAGAAGAAACCCCTACCACACATGAAGCTTCAGAAGCCAAATCAAAGAGGACTACCTTGCTGTTGGTGTTATCAAATAGAAACAACACAACATTGATTGATTGGAGATGCAGAGATAAGAAAGGAGTATAGGATTCCAAAAACATATGCTAAAACCTTAGGAACTGATGGATATTTTGTTTTCTTCACTGTGATGATGATTTCATGGGTGTATACCAAAGTCAAATTTATGCAATTGTACTTTTTGAATACATAGTTTCTCACACCAGTTGTATAGTGCTAATAAAAACATTTATAACTCAACCAAATGATCCTGCTTTAAGGACTGCACTAGGACAGGTTAGATCTGTTAAATAAAACCTCTCCCTCTCCCTCTAGCAGCATTGCACCAAGAAAACCTTGCTTTCATGTGAAATGCCAACATGGTGGGAGAAAAACACAACCCCATTTTAATTCTGTATACCTTAATGGACATGTGCATTGAATAAACACAGCTGAGAGACTTTCCCAATGCCTATCTGCCACCACATCCTCTCTCCCATGGCCCAACCCCCAGCTGTACACCAGCCACTCAGTTCTTCTTTCTCAGCCTAGAACTCACAAGCTTCCCTCCATCCCAAGACTCTTACTCCATGACAATCCTCCCAGATCTCTTCCAGGCACATTCCTTCAGCTCTGTTCATCAATTGGGGGAATCTTTGCTGACCCTCTTAAGCAAAGTAATCCACCCCTAACCTCTTCCTATCACATCTTCCTGCGCTAGTTCTTGTTTTAACTGGGTTTGGTTTGGTTTGGTTTGGTTTTGACACTGCTGTGTAAACTTCACTGAGAGCATGCGTTAATTGTGTCTTCTCACTCATCAGTTTCTTCTAGCACTTGGGATTATGCTCAACACAGGGCAGGTGCATAATAAATGTTTCTGAAGGAAAGCAGTCATTCCTCCACTTACCCTCAATAACATCTATTCTGAATTGCAGAGACAGCTCCAACAATCTGACTGTCAAAACTCACTCATGAAAAGGGTCTTTGATACTTACATGCTGTTTTTCCAAGTCAACCAGTCAGCCACAGCCCTGAAACATGTGTTTGCTTCTTTGAGACTGTTCGTATGCAAGGTAAGGATGCTCCAGGGAAATCTCAGCTAAGGATGACCATAAGCACTTAAAAATCTTTGCATCTCCCAGTGTGTAAGGCAGAAGGTTTGTTTTGTGCTATTTTGGTTTCACTAGACACTTGCTAGTCATTTGCTGTCTCCAAGAAAGTGGGATACCAAAAGGGTTGGTACTTTCTGGCTACCAGACATATGGTTGCTCAGAGTTTTTAACATGCAAAGTTTGGTTTAAAAAAAAAATCATCAGCTGGGAGGTGGTGGCACAGGCCTTTAATCCCAGCACATGGGAGGCAGGCAGATTTCTATGAATTTGAGGCCAGCCTGGTCTACAGATCGAGTGCCAAGATAGGCTCCAAAACTACACAGAGAAACCCTGTCTCGAAAAACCAAACAAACAAACAAAAAAATCATCAAGTTACAGTTTCCATTCCAAGGTAGCTACAACAGCCATCTTTGGAGATGGCTATTTTCTTTTAATTTTTCCTTTATTTTTTTATTTGAAGTAGAAACAAGATTGTTTTAAATGTCAATCCCAGTTCCCACTCCCTCCCCTCCTCCCCTACCACCCCCGCAACTAATACCCTACCTATCACATATCCTTTCTGCTCCCCAGGGAGGGTGAGACCTTCCATAGGAGGTCATCAGAGTCTATCATATCCTTTGGGATAGGGCCTAGGCCCACCCCCATGTGTCTAGGCTCAGAGAGTATCCCTGTATGTGGATTGGGCTCCCAAAGTCCACACCTATGCTAGGGATAAGTACTGAACTACAGGAGGTCCTGTAGATTACCGAGGTGTCCTCACTGAAACCCATATTCCTGGGGTCTGGATCAGTCCCATGCTGGTATCCCAGCTATCAGTTTGGGGACCAAGAGTTCCCCATTTTTCAGGTCAGCTGTTTCTGTGGGTTTCACCAGCCTGGTCTGGGCCCCTTTGCCCATCTCTCATTCTTCTCTGAAACTGGATGCCAGTTCAGTTCAGTGATTAGTTGTGGGTCTCTGCTTCTACTTTCACCAGCTGCTAGATGAAGGCTATAGGATGGTATATAAGTCAGTCATCAATCTCATTATCAGGGGAGGGTGTTTAAGGTAGGAGATGACTATTGACTAAACAGCATCTGATATAGCAGTGTAAAGTAAATTATGGAACATCTCAAAGATCTAATGTATTTTGGATTGTTCTTAGTTATTACACATAGAATATTAAGGCCAGAGACTAATTATTACAAGAGCTTATTAGAATTATTAGAAGAGCTTACTGAACTCAGACTTCAGTAATAAAAACATACTGTCCTCTACCACAAATGGAGAAAGCTTATTTTTTCCTCCTCTCTTTCTTTTATTTAAATTAGAAACTATCTTATTTTACAGGTCAATCCCAGTTCCCTCTCCCTCCCCTCCTCCCCTGCCCCCCACAGACCCCCTATCCCATCCCATTTTTTGCTCCCCAGGGAGGATAAGGCCTTCTATGGGGGAATCTCCAAAGTCTGTCACATCATTTGGGGCAGGGCCTAGGCCCTCCCCCATGTGTCTAGGCTGAGAGAGTATCCCTCTATGTGGAATGGGCTCCCAAAGTCCATTTGTACACTAGGGATAAATACTGATCCACTACCAGAGGCCCCATAGATTGCCCAGGCCTCCTAACTAACACCCACGATCAGGGGGTCTGGGTTGGTCCTATGCTGGTTTCCCAGCTATCAGTATGGGGTCCATGAGCTCCCCCTTGTTCAGATCAGCTGTTTCTTTGAGTTTCTCCAGCCTGGTCTTGATTCCTTTGCTCATCACTCCTCCCTCTCTGCAACTGGATTCCAGGAGTTTGGCTCAGTGGAGAAAGCTTATTTATAAATAGTATTTTAGTCTGCAGGTTTGAAACATGAAAGGCCATGGCTCACTCCCTCCTTCCATCTCTCCAGTTTCCTTCAGCCTTTTTTCAAGGGCCTGCTGACCTCTGTGGATCTTTCTGCTATGAAGTCCTAAAATGCTGTAACCACAGGTCACGGTTGACTCAGATGGAGGCCTCAGCGCTTCTGTACTTCTTCATGAGGAAGAACTTTGAATTTAACAAGCAGAAGTCCATTGTCCGGTCTCACTTACAAGTAAGTCCTAACCATTTTTCATTGATGTTGCTGGTAAAATGGCTCATGGGTTTCAGCAGTGACTGAAGCATCCTGGTCCCAGATTCCAGGCTCCACCCTGAAGACTCCCAATACCTTTGGTCATAGCTTGTATGAGAGCAGGGCTGGGGAGAAATGAACAGATTTCAGTTTACATCTCCACTTACAGTTTTGTTTTCTCTGCCCATGAACTGGAATATCATGGAAATAACAACTCTGACTACCACGGTTAATCTAGGAGGCCAAATCTCACCAAATTCCAAAGACAGCCGTGTCTTTCTTCAAGGTGTCCCAAGATGACACAATTTTTGAATGTCTCCTTGATTTATTTGCAATTATAATGAGGTCCCTAGGTCATGTGGTCTTCAGAAGAATGTATGCTTAAAGATATCATTCGTTTGACCTTCTAGGAGAATTTGTGACATGTTTATCTAACCCAGTCAATGTCATTAAAAATGCTGTTTCTAGGCTAGAGAGTGGAGTGTATGCCTAGTAAGCAAGGGGACCTGAGTTCAATCTCTGAAACCTATGTTAAAGAGCCAGGTACAATGGCCTGTGTTTGCAATCTCACCACTGAAGATACAGAGACTGGAAGACCCCAATAATCAGCTATTCTAGCCTACTTAGTGAGCTCCAGATCCATGAGAGATCCTGCCTCCAAAAACACAATGGAGGACACCTGAGGATCCAAATTCAAAACTGACCTTTGGCCTCCACACGCACACATGTGCACCCATGAAAGCATGCCCTCATCTCCCCCACATGAATCTACAAAAACACAAATTGTAAGTTCTCATTTTGCTTTAGAACACTATTCCCCAACATGTGGGTTGTGACCTCTTTGAGGAGGGGGATGGAACAACCTGTTCAAAAGGGTCTCATATCAGACATCCTGCATATCAGCTATTTACATTATGGTTCATAACAGTAGCAAAATAGCATTTATGAAGTTGCAATGAAAATAATGCTATGGTTGGGGCCACCACAACCTGAGCAACTGTATTAAAGGGTTGCAGCATTAGGAAGGTTGAGAACCCCTACTCTAGAGGGTCCTTTTTTCTTTTATCTTCCAGCTCATCAAAGCAGTGAGCCAGTTAATAGCTGATGCGGGGATTGGAGGATCCAGGTTTCAGCATTCCCTTGCAATTACCAACAATTTTGCCAATGGAGATAAACAGATGAAAGTAAGAGATGTTTCCTGACCCTTTGTTTCTAAAGAATCAGAAATAAACTGAGATGGAGTTTTCCTTTGACATCAAAGTCACGGGATGTCTATGAATTCTGTACTTAGCTTATCATGACTTTGATCGCTCGTATTGTTTGTTTATGTCGATGGATAATCATTAGTCCTGGCGCTGTCAGTACAGGATGTTTTAGGTGGAATTTCTAAGATCCGGGCTTGACTGTTATATAAGGACGTATGCCAGATGCATCATTATTTACTCATAATCATCATAAGCAGATTGATCTTTCCCTCTTTTTTCTTTTAGCTCTTTGGGAAGGCTAGAGGTAGAAAAAGCTTCAAGCGTGCCTTGATCTAGAGATCAAGAGAGTGATTTGAAAGCCCCTCCCCCTGTTGCTTGTTTTGTCTATTTATTGCATCAGCTTTTCTGCATTTGCCTAATTTATGGCTGTCTCTGTGGATTTATCTCTGAAAGTATAAGGATACTTGTGTTAGGAATGGGAAAGCACTTCTTCAAACACTACCAATTCAAGTTAAAAAAAAAAGGAATATCTTTGATCTACATATATTATATAAGGAATATGCTTGACCGGTCCAGTGCCACATGCCATCAAGAGGAATGAAGTCAAAACGTGTTCAAATGACAAGAACTGGACTCAGAGAGGACAGACTCTCAAGGGCAGTCAAGAAGCTATTGCTATTGCTGATAGCTGGGCTATCAGACAGTAGAGTTCACCATAAATCTTATGACCAAGTACTTGAATATAACCACAATTGCAATGTATAGAATGCACACATTTATGAACAATACATAAAACATAAGAACCTGTGTGTGGTGCAAAGTCATAATTAAGAGTATACGTTGAAGGGCTGGAGAGACAGCTCAGTGGTTAAGAGCATTGGCTGATCTGCCAGAGGACCTGAGTTCAAGTCTCAAAACCGACATGGCAGCTCACAACTGTCCATAAGTCCAGATCCAAGGGATCCATCACCTACTTCTGGCCTCTGAGGGCACCGGGCAAACCTGTGATGCACAAATGTACCAATGCACAAATGCAAGCAAACTAACCACCCATACACATAAAACAGCAAAATATTTTAAAAGTGTGTAGATTGACGTTAATAATTGAATGCTAACCAGATAATGACCCAGGCTCTCTCTTTTCCAAAGAACAGCAATTTCCCAGCAGAGGTGAAAGATCTAACTAAACGTATAAGGACTGTTTTGATGGCCACAGCCCAGATGAAAGAGCATGAGAAGGACCCTGAGATGCTGGTGGACCTCCAATACAGCCTAGCAAACTCCTATGCAAGTACCCCTGAGCTAAGGAGGACCTGGCTGGAAAGCATGGCCAAGATCCATGCAAGAAATGGAGACCTGTCTGAGGTGATGAGCGCAAAGGCTTATTCATTCTTCCTCAACATCTCCCTCCTTGTGCAAATTAGTGGCTTTTTATGTAGAACATGAGATATAAAAAGTGCCATATTCCCACCAATGTATGTAATATACATCTATATATCAAGTGCAGTAACTTTCATGTAGGGCTCAATAACACCTGATTCTAAGTAGAGGGCATCAGATACTGGCCACAGATAGAGGTGGCAATATCAATTGTTTGAAATGCAATGCAGGAATAGATAGGTGTCTACAACCCGAAGCTAAAGAGAATGTTGTTAAAAGTATCAAGAAATTAATAATTGTATCAGAATTAATATTCTGTGTTTTCAAACTTGTTCCCTGAAATTGGAGTGGCACAGGGAAGGTGGCTGCTATGGTAAGTTCATCCAAGTTTATCTGAACCAGCCATGGAGAAGAGAATCTGCATGTGAAGGTGGTAAATACTTGACTTTTCTGTGCCAGGTGTAATGCTGGATAGACTTAAGCACAGCGATTCATAGCATCCAGAGGCTTCTGGGTACCACTAGGGAAGTTCTGCCTTTCCCCAGAACTACACCCTTGTAGAAATGGGTAATAAGTTTATTCATAATGAGCCTAAAGCCTGAAGCTAATTTAGTGATTAGGGACTCTAGAACAGAAACCAGAAGCCTGGCTTGGCCAGTTTGGTGAAGATTTCCAGTACCCATTAACTTATCTGAAAATGGTAAGATTGCTTCATAAAAACCTCAAAAGAAGAATTCTGACACCCTGGGGCCTTCTTCAGGTCAAGAGTTAATGTATCCAGCAAAGATCAAAGCATCTGCAAGAAAATAAAATACAACCCATATAATCACTTTGAGGAGAATCTATCTGTTATATTAGTTTACATAATATGGCCAGGTGCAAGCTATAAAGAAACCATTCTAAAAGCATCAGAAATTAAAGCCTGAATTAGAGGCGCTAAAATTTAGAAGGCTAGTGCTTTTTTATTTCCAGTTTTTCTTCAGATATTAGAGCCTATAGATTTTAGAAAAGAGATATATAGCTTTAAAATAGTAATGTGTTATGACTGCACACTAATAAAGGAGGGGAGATTATTTTGTGGAAAAATTGCTTAGGAGAACAAATGTGTTCAATGTCAAATCTGTAGCAAGAAAAACAAACAAAAATATCCTCAACTGTTCATTTAGTGATGATGAACTTTGAAAGGGTCCACCTGATTGATATTTTCCCTTCTTTCATTAAAAAAGGGGTTAGTCTATATGACTTATTTTTTATTTAAACTTTTTTTCATTTTACATACCAACCCCGGTTCTCCTGCCCTGCCCACCTCCCTCCCTTCCCAGCCCCTAATCCACTCCTCAGAGGGGGTAAGGCCTTCCTTGAGGAGTAAACAAAGTCTGGCATAGCAAGTTGAGGCAGGACCAAGCCCCTCCTCTGCATCAAGGCTGAGCAAGGTATCCCACCATAGGAAGCGGGCTCCAAAAAGCCGGTTTACATGACATATTCTGAGAGAGCACACTGACTCCCCTTGGGAAAACACTAGTTTCATAAAGAGTTAAATCCGTCATTGGAATCTCTGTTTTCTGTCTTTGTTATAGGCTGCTATGTGTTACATCCATATAGCTGCACTCATCGCAGAATACCTCAAACGCAAGGGTAAGAGGGCCTGGTAAAGGGGCTAGGAACCTGGGCATCAACATTCTGAGATCTAACTTCACATAAATTCATTAAATTTATGTTTTATTGAATAGCTTTCACTTTTATGGATGTCTCTCATTATGCTGTACTTTAATATTTTAATTCTATGATTTCACTGGCATATTCATGTTATGTACAGTGAGGTCAACTTCTTGTTTCCAAATGATTATGATGTCTCATTCATTAACAATTTGTGGTTCCATAAGCTTGTATTAACCAGAACATGCATCCAGGCCTTAATCTCATCTTGCACTACCATAGGTTACTGGAAAATGGAAAAGATATGCACACCACCCCTGCTTTCAGAAGACACCCATCCCTGCGATAGCAACCCATTACTAACAACTCCAGGTGGAGGAAGTGAGTTGATCTAACTGTGCTCATTTGCCTTTGATGCTAAGGAAGTCAACTTTACAGCTTAAATTTTGCTTTGGTGAAACCTCTGTGAATGGGTTCTTAAAAGCAAAATCCATTTCAGGTCAATAGAGCTTACTGTATAAAACTCTCAAGCACTGACCACTCAGAAATCCCATCCCAAACTTAAGAATTTTAGCTTGCTTCTAAGTTCTCAGCAAATGGAATACTATCCAGTCTTCAGGATTATGAATCATGATCATACCTATGTGTATGCAGGCCCACCATTGAAATTTGAGTTTGAAATTGATAAATCATGTAAACTAGCAGGAGAGTCTAGTTTGTGGGCGGAATAGTTTATTCAGAGTAAGACTGTAGATGTATACATTACATAGATGTGTATATCATTATGATAAGTATGTTCTATATCACTTCTAAAAGACTGTGTATCTCTGTGGTAGAATATGTAAGGTTTAGTGTTTGACTTCTGGCATTGAATAATAATAATAATAATAATAATTTTAATTTACTCTGAATTTATAAAATTTATAATTTATAAAACATGACTGATGATATTTATTTATTTTCACTAAAAATATTCCACCTTCAAAATCTAATAAAAAATATTTTGTAACAACTCTAGTTTCTCTGTGTAAATGTGGCTGTATCATTAATACATTTTTATCTACAATCTTCTTAAAGGTCATGTAAGTACAAGATTTCTGAACTAAAATCTAGTTGATAACAATATTTTAACTTGCAAATTGCTGTTGAAAGCTCAGAGTAAAGTTCAAATCAAAATACCCAAATATTTCAGAAGCATAATTCATTTCTTAATCATTTAAACCTGTGTGTATTCCAAAAAATCACATTAAAATTTCCAAATAATGCATGAAAAGCAAATTACCTAAGTGAACTGTGATTAAGTGAGGTTTCTTACTTGGGAACCTTGGAGAAAAGATCAGGTCTATACCACAGGAGCAAATCTGCCTTAAGCCCCTCTTACTGTCATATACCATGCATACTAATTTCTATACTCAAGTCACGAGACATCTCATTATTTAGCATGCCCTTCCTGCTCAGCTATTTACCATATTTAGATCATGTAGAGCAACATAAAGACTTTCACATTGTATCTAAAACCAAACTGAAGAAAAAGGATAAAATCTAAGTGTTGGATTATGTCCCAGTTAGCTCTATGGCTCTTCAATATTCAAGTATATTAAACACTGTTGTCATATTGAAGGGAATACTGGTTATAATATAGTATACCTATTGAAAAGGGGATATGCTTATGAGTGAACATTGAGATGGTAAGGTGACCATTATTGTTCATTAGCATGTATTGATATCTATCAGTATATATCTGAATCCCACTGATATATTGGACATCTTTAATACTCTTTTGTGTTGTGAGGTTTCAGAGTTGGAGAAGTAAATGGTCCCTTTCTTACAATGTGCATCTGATAAGTTATCAGTGAACACATGCAGTTCCAGAAACCATGCTCTATCTAACCATCCTGTGCATTGTGTATGCTATGATACAGCCAATACTAACTTCACAAAGCAAGCAATGCTCTGAACCCACTATGAATTGCCTAAAATGGTATTTCATTGTGCTTGTTTCCCTCAAGGCATGTTCTCTATGGGGTGGCCAGCTTTTCTGAGCATCACCCCAAACATTAAAGAAGAAGGAGCAATGAAAGAGGATTCTGGAATGCAAGACACGCCATACAACGAGGTTAGACTCAGTCGCTCTAATATTGATTAAGTTTAAAATATGGATTGAATTGTGATTTTTGTGTGCATTCAAGAATCAGAGAAAGTTGCTCCGCATTATGACTTTGTTAAACAAAGTGATGTTGAGGCTCAAATAAGACCAAGCTTAATAGATACCAATTCTATTGATAAACCATAATCTTCATTGAAAGTTTAAGCTGTGCCTGGTTACTTTCCCTTATTCAGATGTATATCGTCAGCTCTTCTGTAAGATGCACAATCTCTACTGTCTGGGAAAATGGAGTCAGGGATGCTAAATTTTCATGAGCTTGTCACAGCTGTTTCGTACGCAAGTTTATTTATTTACAAATTTGGCTCAGGAAAAGGGTTCACAATTTCTCTGGCAAAGCCTTCTTATATGTTAGCTGGTTAGTTCTCGTGAAAAAGCAGTTTTCTAGTAGGAATCACAGAACAATTCTGGTGAATAAAATAGAGTTTCCTTCACCAAGAAATAAAAGTCCACAAGCTAATTTTTTAAAGTCTTAGTATTAATATAGGTGTGGAACAAAGAAGACAATGCAAATTTGGGAGATGCATTTTTATGAACTTTGCCAACTACTCTACATTATCTCAGTGCATATTGAATGTGACTATAGTAAATATAGTTGGCATTTATACTAATGACTGTAAATGCTGTGTAAGAACCCTTTTTTAAAAGATACTGTCAGAAATATGCAAATAATATATACTTGCTTTATAGATTGTATAATTTCACACAGTTGAACATATTAAGTAATATAACACCATTCTGAAAGATATTGTATTAAGGGCAGGAAGACAAAGATAAATCAGGCATAATCCCTATTTTTGAAGACTTTAGAATCTTGGAAATAAAAACAGATTTCCTTCAAGGTGAAAAGCAGCCAGTTCAAAATAGATGTTCAGTAACTATGAATTGAAGCATTCTATGTTTTTGTGATTAAAAGATGATGTTTTTACATGAAAGTGGCTGTAATGGGGGTGAATGGGCATCAGTAAAAGCTCTCTATATTTGTATAATGAATATTGATGTTAGATAAGACAACAAGGTATTATGTAGGAAAGAAGTGTTCTTACAGGGCCAGTAACCAGGCAAAGAACTAAAATGTTCTGAACCCATTGCATGCGTTAGGTAAGGAGGAGAAGAGGGGAAAATCCAAGACGGTAGAGCAATCCCAAGGTGGACAGTAATCTCAATAATTAAGATCGGAAATCATTTAAGGCTAAAATAGTTTCAAAACCAAATTTCAGGAGTGAGCTACATCTTTAACCACATAAAAACCTCGTTTTCTCTGGGGAAATTTCAGAATATCCTGGTGGAACAGCTTTACATGTGTGTGGAGTTTCTTTGGAAGTCTGAACGATATGAACTCATCGCTGATGTCAATAAGCCCATCATTGCTGTCTTTGAAAAGCAACGAGACTTCAAAGTATGTGTTCTGTACCCCTAGAAAGCCATAATACTTGCTCACTTTGAGTGGGCAGATGACTTACAGCACTCAAACATAACAACGTTCTCGTTTTTTTATGTCGGCATTGTCCTCATAAACCCCTCTGGTTTACGGTTTCAGAAATTATCAGATCTCTACTATGACATTCACCGATCCTATCTGAAAGTGGCGGAGGTGGTAAATTCAGAGAAGCGCTTGTTTGGCCGCTACTACAGAGTGGCATTTTATGGGCAGGTAAGTACTCTAGAAGTAACATGGCCTGAAAATTCCATTCGATTGTTGCCCACCATTTTTTATAAGACATCTGACTACATATACCCGTGGACCAGGGGAGGGGGGTGTCTGAACTTATGTGAGTGTTTCTATGAATGTGACTATTTATCAGTTTGACCATAGGAATGTATTAAGCACAAATAGGTAGAGAAATCTATGAAATTTATACGAGTTTTTTTTCTTTAAAAAAAGTCATTCTTAGCTTTTAATTTTACCCTAACATCTCTAACAGTTTTATGTGATAGATTAAAGTGAAATCAAATCAGTCATGTTTTAAGAAATAGCACCCTAAGTTGCCCACCATTTCCAACCACTGACTTTACAATCATGTAAGTTGTAGCTCTTGTTTTCAAATCACCACTGTTTCAATGCAGACCATCACAGGGCTATGCCGTTTCCAATGTCACAGGCCAATGGGATTATTTTAAAGTTATCTTTCTCAATGTACTTCGTTAGCAATGAACAAGGTTAAAGATATTAGCTAGCCATAGCATTGGCCTGAAGGGATTGTTACCCACTAATTATGACTGTCTCTTCGAAGTCATGCTTCAAGTGGAGTAGACCCGGGCATGTCATGGTTCCTTTTCAGAAAGGCTGTGGCATTAGTCCAGCTCAGCTGAAGTCTTTCTGGCTATGCAGGCAGATAGGCCATCCTGTCTTATACTCACACTGACTCTCAGATCTCTCACTTTTCTGTCCCTCTTGTGAGGCAGGACTACTCACAGCTTCTTGTTCTCAGAATCTGTTAAGGCTACAGATAGTCTGGTCCAGTATTGTCCTTACAGATAATTTCCCACTGAAGTCTTGAGAAAAAACAGATTTCCCTCTGATCATTAAAGGTGTCTTTAAAACTTACTTCCGATTCTGTCTATGTAAAAAGGACCCATGAGTAGTTAACCTCTGTAATTAACCTCATCCTATCTCTGATTCTGTCTACCTAAAAAGGACCCATGAGTAGTTAACCTCTGTAATTAACCTCATCCTATCTGGATTCTTCTCGGTTTCCAACAGCAAGACTGTAGAGACAGAGAGACATAGGAGAGCAGTCTATAGAGAAAAGCTAACTGTAGACATGGGGGATAAAAAGAAGGTGAGCTAGCTGCAGTGTATTTGCTGAGGAAGAGAGATGTGTACAGGACCTTCAGATGAGAGGAAATGGTATATCAAAAAAAATACAGTGTATGGATGGCATCGGCAGAGCATTAGCAGGAAAAATAACGGAAAAATCCCACCAAGAAGGAGATGTCGAGGATGGATGACTGGAGGAAAACCAAAGGCTAACTGAGCAGCAGAAGAATGGCTGCTCATAGGGGGTGTTTTGCAAACCAGGATATAATGGCAAATCTTCAGGGGACTTGCCAATGAAAAGGTAATAAGGTTCCATTAACACCCTGACCTGCAATCGATGTGTGAGCTACGAGCTGGTGAACAGGTGGAGCAGGCCTCGCTGCCTCCCAGCTAGTTTCTAATGCAGATGTTTGCTCTTTTCTTCCTTTGGTCTTGATTGTTCCAGGCTGTGGTAAGTTCATCCTCTCTGTGTCCCTTTGCATGCACTAATAATCCTCACCTCTCCCTCCTTACCATTCTACTGAACCTTAATATTTTTGGAAAAAGAGTAAGGTAGCTGCTTTGATTCTTTTTGGAGCCCTCTTGCATTTCTTGAACTAAATTCTGTTTATTCCAGTTACCTGAATTACAAAAAATGTATCTTTTTCAATTCATATTATGTTTCTCCACAAAAGCAGAGGGTGTAATCTAGAAGCTTCACACACACACACAAGGTAGATGTGGATATCACACATTTTAAATAGATTCAGGATATATTTAATGCTGAAAATCACCTGCTTATTTGAGCTATCACGAATCAAACCTATGGCAGTGGCTCTCACTTCTCCTAATACTGAAACCTTTTAATACAATTCCTGTTGTGGCAACCTGCAGCCATAAAATTATTTTCACTGCTACTTCATAACTGTAATTTTGCTACTGTTATGAACTGTAATGTAAGTATCTGATATGTGAGATATGTGATAAGCAACACCAAATGGGTCGTGACCCACAGGTGGAGAATCATTGCCGTATGGAGCTGAAGGTGGTGAGAAGTTTGAATGGTGGCTGTTTACAGGACTGGAGTCCTTCCCAGAGTCTTCTGCCAGGGGTCCCTTTGAGAAATGAGGCTCAATATCAGCAGGCTCTGATCCTATAGAGGTGATGGTGATTCCAAACACAAAGAATTAAAACGAACAAATCTTCACCCAACAGGCAAAGTCTTCAGAGATGCAGAATAGTGTACAGAAAGATCTAGAATCTGGTCAGAGCAGAAATCACCTACCAGTATCAAGAACTTTCAAGAAAAAAAAAATTGTCTGCAATTGCTAAATGGCTAACTATATCTTTAGCCATTATTTTAACCTACAAAAATGACACCTTTATGTGATTTGATGTCATTGTTAAGGTAGAAAGTAAAATTCTTTCCACATTCTGTCACCATTCAGCTCTTCTCATATGAACAATGCATACTTTTTTGTAATTCTTTAAATTCCTTCCTACCTCCATTCCATGTGGGTAATTTATACTTCATTTACAAATCTGGGCTCATGAGTCCTTAACTTACCTACTAGAAGAATACTTGGGAAACCACATACTAAATAGACTGAGGGGGCCATTGGGGAATGTTGCTTTCAAATGACCTAACTTTGTTCTTTTTTCAGATTTCTTAAAAATATGCTTACGGTATACCTGTTTTGTAGCGTGGGCAGGACTATCAATTGCCTTTGGTTAAGAAAAATAAATCCAATCAGAGATAAGAAGAAAAAATACTTTATTTTGTGCAGACCTGATAATATTCCCTAAGCATGACCCTCCATAAGTTCCACCAGCAGCTGCCTTTGAACAAGGAGCACATGTGGAGTTAGTTCATCCTGACAAGTAACAAATTAGAACTCTAATGATCATTATGCAAATGTATTCAAATGCACACACCAGGTCACCAAATGGCAAGTGTGAACTGTTGGCATTCAACAGGAGCAGACAGCTCCCATCCCTTCGCCTTGGTGTTAAGTAAACCAAAGGAGGCTTGTGCATCCTCCTGAACCTGTGCAGGATGAAGGTTCCAGAACACAGAGATGAACTCTCCAGTGCATGCTTTGCATAATCCCCGAGCTCAAAAAAGCAACTTCTTATTCAAAACATACCTTTTAACATACATACCGATGCATCTTGCAATCATGCTAAAAAGATAATGTGAATGTAACATGAAATAGGCTCTTTGCCTCTGCAAAGTCCTTTGAGTACACATTAGTGTACTGTGTGAACAAGGGTTCTCATTTTATTGTACTGGCTAGGGTATTTAATATTAGCCAAGTCTGCAAAGAGGCAGACATTAGCAAACATGCTGAAAACCCTTTCTTCACAGCAGGGACATTTTTAGAAATGCAAGTCCTGCTTAGCATGGAGTTTCTCACACAGCAGCTGGCATCATTGGCTACGGATATACCAGCCTGCAGAAAGCTGCTCTCCAAGTTTCCTCAAGGATCCATTGCCCGAGTAAGGAAACAACAGTAGCAATCAAACACTGCCTGCAATCAATGAAACCCTTAGGCCCTAGCCTTTAATAAGAAAGCAAGCCAACAAGTGCTGGTTGCATAGCTTCATATATCAGATAGCCTGGAATTAATTAGCTAAAAAACCTGGTGGGGAGATTTATTCAGTGCATCAATGGATATAGATTGTATGACCAGTGTATCAATGGATATAGATTGCATGACTGTCCATCATGGCTCCTTCAGAGTAGATGCATTTCAGAATCTGAATGGGAAAGAGCTTGAATGGAGGGGGGAAGTACATGTGTAGTTTGAAACTAAAACAACATCTCCATTTTGAGATGTGATATACTCTCTTCCAGCTCCTCGCCTATGTGAAAGTCACTGATCTTGGTTCTCTCTCTCTCTCTCTCTCTCTCTCTCTCTCTCTCTCTCTC